ATTTTTACTAAGTTTTACGCATTGGACAATCTGTCATCTGAATATTCGCTGATTATTCTTTCTTTTCTTCACGTTTCCGTTGGTATAAGGTTACATGAGTTTGAAAATCCAGTAAAGAGGTAATTTGTACTTCCTTCTCTTGATTTATTCATGTAATTAAAATGTTCTTATTTTGAAGCGTGTATTTTTTGTTTGATTTACAGTATACAGTTTATTTATAATGTATCTACAACTTTCATGCATTATTCTTATCCACCTAAATACAACTACAACATCATACAACTTAAATACAAATTTTATACAATATGTCTTTTCTCTGTATTTTGTATACGATGTGTATATATTTTGTATATGGTGTGTTCTTTCCTTCTGAAATTCCAATCAAAACTTCCTCTCTTAAAACAACTTTGATACATATCAACAACTTTACGTAAAAATAAAGTATTTATAACTTAATTAACTTCATATAATGATTCATACATTATACAACTATTTTTCAACTTTCATACAAATCAAATAAAAATATATATAATTACAATAGAGTACAACATAAATACAACTTTGATATAATTTCGTAACTATATTGTATGCCATGTGTTCTTCTTCTTTTCCGAGTTTCATTCTGAAATTCAACCAAAATCAAGTCTAATCTTTACCAAACACCCTCAAAATTGAGATATAAACCCCTAAAAATATTCTCAATTGTTTGCAACAACACCCAATCCAAAAAAACAATAATTTTTCAAAACCCAAATTTGAATTCAATGCTTTGAAACTTTTTAATGGCTGTCAATGGTGGAAAATCAAACACCTTCATAATTTATTGATTGACAATTTCAGTTCGAACACCCAGCTGGAGAAAGAACAGAGGACGATAGAAAGAGAGAGAGAGAGACGAAGAGAGTGAAAGAGAGACGGGGAGAGAGACGAAGAGAGAGAGAGAGAGTAGAGATATAAATCCCTATTCAATTCCTAATATAAAGGGATACTATTATATTCAATTGCTAATATTAAGGGATACTCATTAATACTAGGGAAAATGCATAAGTACCCCCTGACCTATACCCGGATTTCCAACTACACACTTTTTCTTTGCGTGAATTTTATTACCCCCTAAACTTATTTTAAATGTAATTATTTGCACCCTTAACGCTGACAACCAAACTCTTGGCAAGTAGTGAGCTACACGCACCCCCACATGTATTTTTTAATACTTTTTTTATTCTTTCGTCCTTTTCTTATCCTTTTTTCTTATTTCTTATTATTCTCATTTTTTTGGTTATTTCATTCTTTTTCTTTTTGCTTTGGTCACTGGCGGCATAAAATGGTGGTCGTCGGAATTTCACAAACACCATTTTTTCCGGTAAATTTTTTTCCCGGCGACAGATTTTTATCCTGATCTAAGTGTGTTTTGTTTATATATATATATATATATATATTTTTTCTTGAAACTGTAATTTATGTGTGGGAGGAAGAGCAAAAGAAATAAAAACGAATATAAGCCGAGAAAACTTTTTCCAGTTAAATTTTCAATACATCATTTTTTTTCCGGCATGGGAAGGTTTTCCGATGATGAATCCCCCCCCCCCCCC